CTGAGGCCGAGGCTCATGCAGGCTGAGGCTGAGGCAGGCTGAGGCTGAGGCCGAGGCTGAAGGGCTGACTGAGGCTGAGGCTGCTGCTGCAGGCTGAGGCTGAGGCTGAGGCTGAGGCTGAGGCTGAGGCTGAGGCTGAGGCTGAGGCTGAGGCTGAGGCTGAGGCTGAGGCAGGCTGAGGCTGAGGCGAGGCTGAGGCCGAGGCTGCTGAGGCTGAGGCTGAGGCAGGCTGAGGCTGAGGCTGAGGCAGGCTGAGGCTGAGGCAGGCTGAGGCTGAGGCTGAGGCTGATGCTGAGGCTGCAGGCTGAGGCTGAGGCCGAGGCAGGCTGAGGCTGAGGCTGAGGCTGAGGCTGCAAGGCTGAGGCAGGCTGAGGCTGAGGCTGAAGCAGGCTGAGGCTGAGGCTGAGGCTGCTGCTGAGGCTGAGGCAGGCTGGCTGAGGCAGGCGAGGCTGATGAGGCTGAGGCAGGCTGAGGCTGAGGCCGAGGCTGAAGGCAGACTGAGGCTGAGGCTGAGGCTGAGGCTGAGGCTGAGGCTGAGGCTGAGGCAGAGGCTGAGGCAGGCTGATGCTGAGGCGAGGCTGAGGCTGAGGCTGAGGCTGCAGGCTGAGGCTGAGGCAGGCAGGCTGAGGCTGAGGCCTGAGGCTGAAGGCAGAGGCTGAGGCTGAGGCTGAGGCAGGCTGAGGCTGAGGCTGAGGCTGAGGCTGAGGCTGAGGCTGAGGCTGAGGCTGAGGCTGAGGCAGGCTGATGCTGAGGCAGGCTGAGGCTGAGGCTGAGGCTGATGCAGGCTGAGGCTGAGGCAGGCTGAGGCTGAGGCCGAGGCTGAAGGCAGACTGAGGCTGAGGCTGAAGCAGGCTGAGGCTGAGGCAGGCTGAGGCTGAGGCTGAGGCAGGCTGATACTGAGGCAGGCTGAGGCTGAGGCTGAGGCTGATGCAGGGTGAGGCTGAGGCAGGCTGAGGCTGAGGCCGAGGCTGAAGGCAGACTGATGCTGAGGCTGAAGCAGGCTGACTCTGCTGAGGCAGGCTGAGGCTGAGGCAGGCTGAGGCTGAGGCTGAGGCAGGCTGAGGCTGAGGCTGTGACTGCGACTGCCGTTGCCACTGCGACTGCCATCGCGAATGCGACTACGACTGCGAGAACAGCAGAATTCTACAACAGGATTCTCATGTGAATCGTAAGGGGAATGCTTCCAGATATGCTCCTACACATCGCTGTTAGGTTGCTTTGCCGGGATCATTTCTTCCCCATGTGTTTCTCTGTCACCCACCCGAATGTTCTACTCTGCGGCATATGCGGGCATGTGCGTTTGTACATTCGGAGTTTGTCCAGACTGTGCATCCGACTGTGTGTCGGACGGTTCATCATGTGCGCACATGTGCGGCCATGTTGTTGAGACTTTTGCATGGTTGCATGGGCATGTGCATGCGACCATGCGGCATGTGCCTGCGCTGCCTTGTAACCTTCCGATTACCATTTGGTAACCTCCTCCCCACTATCCCATTACCTCCCCTCCACTAGCCCACAACCTTCCCTCCACTATCCCACAGCTTTCCCTCGATCTGTCCCATAACCTTTCCCTCCGCTTTCCCATATATTCCCATCCACTATTCCCTAACCTTCCCTTCGCTATCCCATGACCTTCCCACTACTGTCCCATAACCTTCCCTCCGCTATCCTTTGACCTTCCCTCCACTATCCAATAACCTTCCCTCCGCTATCCCATACCCTCCCCTTCGCTATCCCATAATATCCCCCAGGCTATCCCATAAGTTGCCCTCCAATGTCCCATACTTTTCCCTCTACTATATCATAACCTTTCCACCGCTATCCCGTAACCTCCTGTGGACAATCCCATATCTTTCTTTCCACTGCTCCATAATCTTCCCTCCGCTTTCCCATAACCGTCCCGCTACGATCCCATAACCTTCCCTCCGCTTTACAACCTTCCCTCCGCTATTCCATTATCTTGCCTCCACTATCCCATGACCTTCGGTCCACCATTCCATACCCTTCCCTCCACTATCCCATATTTTTCCCACCACTATCCCATAACCTTCATTTTCTATCCCATAACCTTTCCTCCACTTCAAGCATATTGTGGTGGATGCACGACAATTGCCGTTTGAGCCATACGGATGGGGGCACGGCACATTGTGTGCAATTGCGGCCCGATGCGTTTTGATTACACTTCGTATCAGCCGCCTTCTAGTCTAGGAGGGAATGGGCGATGACGGTCCTGCGGCAGGGGTTCTTGCCGATGCCTCTTGGGAGCAGCGGAGCAATTTTTGTCTTGGCAAGCAGCGGATCATTGTGTATGTTTGTTGTTTTGTTTTCGTTGGCTTAGGCGTGATAGGGGGGAGGCCGCGGTAATCACTGGGGCTCCCACCGCCAAGGACAACCACACGAACGCACACGCATACACAGTGCGTCGCTGCTGCCCATGCCCAGAACACTCAAACATCCAAGCATTTTCAGCGTTCCGTGTCGCCGAAGGCCAGCTTTTTACCTAACAGCGAAGACTGATAGGTTTCTAGTGGTGTCAAAAGAGAGCATCATGACTCCTCAGGGGGGTCGGGGAGGGACCCGGGGCGGCTGCCGTCGAAGCCCAAATCGCCTGGGACATCCTCGCAAAATCGCTTTTGGCGCTGCTAGAACTCCATTCCCGGCGTACATTTTGGATGCCCGGAGCCAACTGTAGGCCACTTCGTGGTCTTCGAGTTCCCAGAACTCCATTCCCGGGCCACACATTTTGAATGCCCGGAGCCAACTGTAGGCCACTTCGTGCTCTTCGACTTCCCAAAACACCATTCCCGGGCCACATTTTGAATGCCCAGAGCCAACTGTAGGCCATTTCGTGCTCTTCGAGTTCCCAGAACACCATTCCTGGGCCACATTTTGAATGCCCGGAGCCAACTGTAGGCCATTTCGTGCTCTTCGAGTTCCCAGAACACCATTCCCGGGCCACATTTTGAATGCCCGGAGCCAACTGTAGGCCACTTCGTGCTCTTCGAGCTCCCAGAACTCCATTCCTGGGCCACATTTTGAATGCCCGGAGCCAACTGTAGGCCACTTCGTGCTCTTCGAGTTCCCAGAACTCCATTCCCGGGCCACATTTTGAATGCCCGGAGCCAACTGAGGCTGAGGCAGGCTGCTGCTGAGGCAGGCTGAGGCTGAGGCTGAGGCAGGCTGAGGCTGAGGCAGGCTGAGGCTGAGGCAGGCTGAGGCTGAGGCTGAGGCTGAGGCAGGCTGAGGCTGAGGCTGAGGCTGAGGCTGAGGCTGATGCAGGCTGAGGCTGAGGGCTGAGGCAGGCTGCTGAGGCTGAGGCTGAGGCTGAGGCTGAGGCAGGCTGAGGCAGACTGAGGAGGCTGAGGCAGGCTGAGGCTGAGGCTGAGGCAGGAGGCTGAGGCTGAGGCAGGCTGAGGCAGGCTGAGGCAGGCTGAGGCTGAGGCTGAGGCTGAGGCCGAGGCTGAAGGCAGACTGAGGCTGAGGCTGAAGGCAGGCTGAGGCTGAGGCTGAGGCTGAGGCTGAGGCTGAGGCTGAGGCAGGCTGAGGCTGAGGCTGAGGCTGAGGCTGAGGCTGAGGCTGGGCTGAGGCTGAGGCAGGCTGAGGCTGAGGCCGAGGCTGAAGGCAGACTGAGGCTGAGGCTGAAGCAGGCTGAGGCTGAGGCTGAGGCAGGCTGAGGCTGAGGCTGATGAGGCTGATGCTGAGGCAGGCTGAGGCTGAGGCTGAGGCTGAGGCTGCAGGCTGAGGCTGAGGCAGGCTGAGGCTGAGGCCGAGGCTGAAGGCAGACTGAGGCTGAGGCTGAAGCAGGCTGAGGCTGAGGCTGAGGCAGGCTGAGGCTGAGGCTGAGGCAGGCTGAGGCTGAGGCTGAGGCTGATGCAGGCTGAGGCTGAGGCAGGCTGAGGCTGAGGCCGAGGCTGAAGGCAGACTGAGGCTGAGGCTGAAGCAGGCTGAGGCTGAGGCTGAGGCAGGCTGAGGCTGGCTGAGGCTGAGGCAGGCTGATACTGAGGCAGGCTGAGGCTGAGGCTGTGACTGTGACTGCCGTTGCCACTGCGACTGTCATCGCGAATGCGACTGCGACTGCGAGAACAGGAGAATTCTACAACTGGATTCTCATCTGGATCTTAAGGGGAATGTTTCCATATATGCTTCTACACATCGCTGTTAGGTTGCTTTGCCGGGATAATTGAGTAAGGGGTCCTTGGCAATGTTTTTATTTATCAGGGATCCTTCAGTACGGGCTCCTTCATACGCGCACACGCACACGCACACGCACACGCACATGCACACGCACACGCACACGCACATGCACACGTACGCACGCGCACACGCACACACGTACGCACGCACACACGCACACACGCACACACACACACCCACAGTCACACACAAACACAAACACACGACCGCACACGCAAGCGCAAACGCAACCACATACACACAAACACAAACACAAGCCACCACACACACACACACGCACACGCACATGCAACAGCACAAGCACACGCACAAGCACAAGCACCGACGCAAACACAGTCACAAACACAACCACAACCACAATCACACACCAACACAACCACACACAAGCACGCACAAGCACAACCGCACACAAATGCCCCCCCCCACACACACACACAAGCACAACCACAACCACCAGCACACGCACACATTCACACACCCACACACACACGCACAAGCACAACCACAACCACATCCGCAATCACAACCACACACAGCCACACACACACACCGCAGCCTCAGGCCCGCCATCACCCATTCATTTCGTATCTGTCTTTTGTGCTTTTCATTCGTGGTGTTACTGATCAGCCGCTATGTTTCCATCGTTGCATGCTCATCCCTCTTTCCGATTTGTCATCTTTCCGCTGCGTTAGATCTGTGACCCACGCAGTTCTAGCTAGATTCCTATTTCATTTCGATCGGAATCACATTTGAATCAGCTGGGTATGGGACCCGCTCCACCCTAATGTGATTCTGCTGACGTCCACATCGGAATCTGTACTAATTGGAAGCAGCTCGATCTGGGACCTGCTCAACTCCACTTCGATTCTGATTAGATTCCACTAGGAATCCAATGGTGCTCAGCTGGATCTGGGATCTGCATAACTCGAATTCGGTTTTAATCTGAGCCCAACATGAATCCAACTGGACACAGCTGTATCTGGGATCTGCTCCATCCCAAGTCTATTCGAATTCTGTTGCCATAGGAATCAAACCGTAATCAGCTGGATCTGGGAATTGCTCAATTCCAATTCGATTATAATGCCATTCAGCTAGGAATCACACTTGGGCTCAGCTGGATCTGGGATGTGCCCACTTCCAACTAAGTTCTAACCGACTTCCAATAGTAACCACGCCAAACTCATCTGTATCTGGGATCTGCTGCATCCCAGGGTTCTCATATGACTGCAACTGGGAGTCGCTGGGCCTGGGACTTGCCCACTTCCAATTAGGTCCTGCCCACTCCAATGTAGTCCCACGACTATACTTCGATTTCAATATGATCTATGTGTAAGCAGCTGGATATGTGACCGCCGTTATGAAGCCCACTTGTATTCAGTTTCATCTGGCATCAAATTCGAACCAGCTACTGTAATCAGATGGGTATGGAATCTGCTCCCCCCCTCTCTCTCTCTCCTTTTCTCTCCCAGGCGCCCAACACAACCGCAGTGACACCACACTGTTTGCGACATCGGGGGTGCGGAAACCCTGCGGTTCCACTTTTTTGGATTGCTAAGGCCTTACGGCCGGTGCCGCCGACCCTGGAGGCCTCGGCCCTCGACGGAAATGGGAGGGAGAGGGCGGGCCATGGGCCCCGGGAGGGTGGTATTCTGACCCGGGACCACCCCTGGGACCCCCTTCGGGACCCCCCACCTTCGAGTAAACACCGACGTTGCTCAGATTGGCTTCCCCTCCGCGTCGCGGCCGCTCCCCTCCCCTGAAGGGAGCCGCCCGGGTGCCCCCCTCCTCCCCCCGCGTATCCGGGTATGACCCTCCCACCCCCTTCCCCCTCGGGGCGAAGTGATTAAAGGGAAGGAGCTTGCCTTCAAGTAAGCTGCGACGTTGCTCAGATTGGCTTCCCCCCCGTGTCCGGGGGGAGCAGATTGGCTTCCCCCCTGGGTCGCGGCCGCTCCCTCGCCCAGGGAGAGTCGACCACACCCCTCTTTGAGCCGACGTGGCGGTGTCGTGGGCAGCTCCCCCCCCCGCGAGGGGAGCCGACCACTCGTCTTGGAGCCGACGTGACGATCTCGTGGGCGACGACGACCCACGCAAGATGACGAGACCAGGATGCGTCTTCCACACGTCACATACAGTGTCGGCGGATTTCTGAGATGTGAAGTGCGAGCGCCATGTGTGTCCATTTTAATGTTTTGGATTCGGGTGATTTTCCTCCCTCCAGCGAAAATCACACCCAGAAACCCTCCCAGGAGATCCGACCCTCTCAGTCCCAAACATCCCACAGCTAAATGAAACCGCATGACTTCCTGGCTCCTCATCCCAGAAATCCCGAACATTCCAGTGAACATGCAGGGTTTCCGCACCCCTGACATTGCGCACCTTGCCGAGCGCCCCCCACAGGCGCCTGGAGGAGCAGAGCGAGCAGGTCCGTCTTCTCAGCGACGAGAACAACACGCTCAGGCAGATCGGGCCGCGGGAGCCAGGGCGACCTCCTCCCCACAGTGCCCTGGCGACGGTCACGACTGCGAGATCGGGTCGCTCCGCCGAGCAGCAGCAGCAGCAGCAGCAGCAGCAGCAGCAGCAGCAGCAGCGGCGGCGGCGGCGGTGGTGGCGGGAGGAGGAGGACGAGGAGGAGGAGGAGGAGGAGGAGGAGGAGGAGTAGGATTTGGGGGAAGAGGAAGAGGTGGCGAGGGCGTCGGCGTATCGATGCGGACTTGTCCGCAGCTTCGAGACTTCGACGAGGAGGAGAAGGAGGAGGGCATCGAGGCTTCGAGCACGAGAAGAAGAGTACATCACACTCCGACGTTCGTGCTTTTTTGTTGCGTTAGGCAAGGACTTGGGTCACCGCGACCGTAGCCCTCGTATGACCACAACAAGTGTTCTTATGCAACAAACTGTTCTAAGCGAAGCACCTGTGACGAACAATGACAACATGAGGCGACTCGTCCGTGCCCTCCCCCACCTTCTCCTCGCCGTCCCCAGCTGCCTCCTGCCCCCCCTGTCCTCCCCTCCTGCTCCTGCTCTTGCTCCCCCCTCCTCCCCCGGCGTCCTCGCCCCGTCCCCTTCCCCCCTGCTCCCCCTCCCGCTCCTGCTGCCGCCCCTCGCCCTCGTCGGCGTCGTCCTGTTCCCCTCTGACAGGGAGCGCTGTCTCCCCCTCTCGTCAACGCTTTCCTCTTCCCTCTGGCACCGACGCGTCGTCTCCAAGGAGAGGACATGTCGGCCACGCGCAGAGGGGGGTAGGGGGTAGGGTTGAGTCGGGCGGGTCCTCCTACATGAGGGGTATTCAAGAATAGCTATACCATAGTCAGGTGACGATGTTTCATGTTCTTCTAACTTTTTTGATAGTGATTCTGACTATTCTTATGTTTCTTCCAGCATCCGCCTGTAGGAGGACATGCCCGACCGAAGGGTACGGGGAGGGGGAACGGCTTCTCAGAAGCACCCCTGCTTTTATGAAGACGCAGGTCGTGTCTGTAGATGTAGTGCAGGCGCCTTCTAAGACGCAGCCTCCCTCTAAGGAGGCTTCCCCCTTCCCGTACTCCCTTGTGCGCGCCGCCAAACAGGGGGAGGGGCGCAACCATGCAGGAGTTTGGTGCGCGGACTGGTGAGAGGAAGGGCGGGAGGGGAATTGGGGGGTTGGTATGATTGTTATCATAGTCAGGATATTGATGGTCGTGATGATGGTGGTGTCGGCTATGGTATAAGTGATGATGCCGGTCGTCGCGATGCTGATGTCGATGGCGATGGAGATGATGATGGTGATCATTCTGGTGGGGTAATGATGGTGGTGGTGGTGGAGGAGGGGTAGGAGCTGGGTGAGGAGCGATGACAAGGAGGAGGGGAGAACGAGGAGGGGGAGGAGGAGGTGGAGGAGGTGGAGGAGAAGTGTGAGGACAACAAGGAGGAGGTGGAGGAGGAGGAGGAGGAGCAGGAGGAGGACGAGGAAGAGGATGGGGAGGCGGAAGAGGAGGAGGAATGGAGTCGACGCTTCCAGCGGACGAGGCAGCACAAGCCAGAACGGACGTGCCACGTGGTGCCGCCCGACCCTCCAACTCCCAGCTGGCCCAAGGGGCCAGAAGGGGAAGAGAGGGAAAGACAGAACCCACGGGCATACCCACGCCACCCCGTGCTGTCTACCAACGATGCCGTCCTTGAGGCTCCAAGCGCTAGCACGCGCGCGTTCCCTGCAGCGACGCCACCCCGTGCTATCTGCCAACGATGCCGCCCTTGAGGCTCCAAGCGCTTGCGCGCGCGCGCTCCCTGCAGCGACCCGCCGAGGAGAGGAGGGGGGAATCGCTCGACCCTGCCCGGGGACTCCTTGATCCCTTGCCCTTCAAGTCCGTACCTGACCTCCGCCTTCACCATCATCCTCATCATCACCATCACCATCATCACCATCATCACCATCATCATCATCATCATCATCATCATCATCATCATCATCCTCAGCATCACCATCACCATCACCATCACCATCATCATCACCATCACCACCATCATCATCATCATATTCGTCGTCAATCTCACTATTACCATCATCATCATCATCATCATCATCATCATCATCATCATCATCATCATCATCATCATCATTTTCATCAACAGCACGAGCAGCCGTATCCGTTTTGGCTCAAGTTCGAACCGTGCGTCCCTCGCGCTTCGAAGTTGGACGCTGCCAAGGGATGCCTCGAGCGTTCTTTTTGAAGGCCTGCGCGATTCTCTCCATGTGTCCGGCCCGATCTTGATCAGCCATGCCGCTCTCGCCAGATGAGCAGAATACTCTCGCGACTCCGGACGACTCAGGATGCACTCATTCTCAAGGGGCTGGGCGCGGGCCCGCGAGGTTCTGAAGAACAAGGACAACATAGTGCATGCTCAGAGTGAAAGTTTCCCGGCGCTCCAGAATCAGTTCTCTGAGTTGGGTTTGGTGATGAGATCGATTCAAGTAGACCTGCAGTACAGAAACAGCTTACAGTCGGGATAATGATCAACGTCATGCTGAGTTGAAAGGGTGCTTATGACGGCAGCAGCACCAACACTGACCGTGATGGTGGCTCATTCCCTCTTCCGAAGAAACGGAAGGTCCCAGCTTCTGTTCCCAGGGTGCCTTGCCGATCCCAAAGCGAGTTCAGTAAGAAGACCCTTGCACAGGCAGGGAAAGCAATCGCATTTTCGTGTGCATCGGCGGCGGCCCAACAGGTAATAACAGTTACCCCCCAGAGATTTGCCAATCAAGTGATCATAGCGTTCCCGTCCGAAGAACGCGTGCAGGAAACTCCCAGCTGTTATCGGAAGAATTTCCCCGACGGTTTCAACATCGTTGCCCCGCGTGGTCCAGTTGCGTTCCGTCTGAAACCTCATCAAGATATCGAAACCAACGAGCAGTGCAGTGTGCTCGGTCGTGCTCGCAATGCTCTTGATCCCCCCAGGGAGATGGATAGTATTTGGGCAGTTCGGTCGAGCCCCCAGAATGGCTGTGTATTCGCTCAGAGCGACACGGCAGGATAGATCCTGAAGCTCTTTTAGGTGGTGGAACCAGGGGTCGATGCCGAGAATCCGAAGGTTATTTTGTTTGCGTGCAACTTCGTGGCCATCTGCATGACGGACCAGCAGCCGCCAGCGATTGCCGACCAGGTTCACAGTGAGGTGCAGGTCAGATGAAGGAGGTCAGCCACAACTCGCTCCTTCCGTTCTTGTCACCAAAAGCTCTTTCTGTGGTAGCCTGGAATGCTAGAGGGTTATTGGTTAGTGTTGCCGGCATTCCGTACAGGGCATGCAAGAGGTGGATGCTCATCTCTGGTCGGATTCGACGGTATCATATAGCGTTCATGCAGGAATCCCATGGCCACGTCGGGGACCTCATCGGCCTGCAGAGTGAGTTCCCCACCACATCGGCTCTTTTTCAACGTCACTCGCAAAACTCTATCTGGACATGGGGTCTGATTTGTATCCGGGTTCGTGTTGATCTCTGTTCCGCAGGCTTGCGCCATCGCATTATCTCTCCTGGTAGAATATCGAATGTCTTGGGTTGGGGCTCCTGCGGGCTCCCGGGGGTGGCGGCGGTGCATGTGCCCAATGTCGACACGGGCGTCTCGCGCTGCTGGCAGCGATTGGTCCGTCTGAAGTCGTCTCTCCCCCCGGCGACGTCGGTCGCGAACGTCCTGCTCGGAGACGTCACTTTTGCGCTCAGTGATGACGGTCGCGCCAGGTGCAGCAGGCGCCTTCGCTCAGGGGCAGCGCGCGCCAGGGAAGGGCGCTCGCTCACCGGGGAGTGGACTGAGTTGCATCAGCCGCGCGGCTAGGCTGGATAGAGTACGTGTCAAGCGGCGCCCTCGGTCTTGAATGGCTTTGTCATTGCTGGATCTGTGATTATCATGTCCATTATTCTCAAGGAGCCGTCGGATCACGTCCCAGTGGTTGCTGCGATCTCGCCTGAACCTCGCCCCGGTTCTGGCCGCGATAACCGCCCGGGTTCCACGCGCCGCTGAGTGCCTGGGCATCTTGGCCACGCTGCTCGCATAAGGAGATTTGCCATTACCCCTTTAAGTTCGTTCGGCTGGAGGGTACCGAGGTGGCTATTCATGATGCTCGCGCAGAGTTTCGGAAAAAGGTTATGCGCTGTCGAGAGGCCGCGTCTACTCGCGAGTATCTGCGTTGGAGCGTCTTGGCCTTGACAGCGTTCCGTGCTGATCCATCCTCGCGCCATCATGTGACCGTGCTCTCCGTGCTGATCCTGCTATCTGCCTTTTTTGACGCCGATGCTGGTGCCCTCCCTGCTGCTGCTTGTCTCTTCGCTCGCGCTGCTTTCCTTGGCGCCTCTCTATTGCATGAGGAGGAAGAGGCTGTGGAGAGAGCGACTGACGCGCAGGGGCGTCGTGCGCGCGTGCCGCGCAATCGCGAGAGCTGGCGAGCTTGGCGGCGTCCTGCGTGAGGGCGCAGGTGCACCGTTCACGTCGTTGCAGCGTACTGGGCAGGAGCTTGCTCGACGCAGGGGTTCTGCGTTCGCTGAGGTCGATCCTGGTCGCGTGCTCTGGCCCGCCTTGGAACCCGAGATCCAGGGGGCTTCGGGTGCCTTTTCTGGTTTGGTGTGGGTCCAGGAGCGGGGGGAATTTGGACGGCCGGTCCAGTCGGCGGGCGACTCGGAGCCGGGCATCGACGGGCTGCCGCGCGTTTGCTGGGAGATCCCAGCAATTCAGGAGGTATTGTGCCTGTGCTGTCGGCGCTGCGTTGCTCGCCCCGAAGACCCTCGCCCTCCCGACTTCCATGAGATGCAAGTAGCGCTTCCAGCAAAAGGGGATCGCCCCACTGATGCATCTGCTGTGCCATCTAGGAAACCATCCTGCACTCGTCCACTCTCTATGGGCTGCGCTGATTGTAAGTTGGTGACTGCTGCTGTTGCTTGTTATATATCTCTCTCTCTCTCTCTCTCTCTCTCTCTCTCTCTCTCTCCCTCTCTCTCT